TACTAAAGCTCAGGGTTTACTCTAGACACCGGACCACTTCCAACTGTGATTCCCCTGCATCCTTTCTGCTCTCAGAAACTTACAGGGTCTATCAGGAACTTGCTAGGCTGTCAAACATTGACAGAGTCCCAGATAGCAACAGGTGAAACAGTTCCTCCATTGTTCATCCTGCTGTCATCTGTTGGGAGAGCTTCTGAAGAATATAAGGATGACTGTACAAATCAAACGAAAAGCTGGAGCTCACCAGTGTTGGCTAAGAGACAAAGGGGTTCAGCCATCTAAACAGGGCTGGGCTGTTGAGACACCTTCTACTAGTGATCCTGCATCTCACTGCACCCTAAATTTATCCTGAACAGACTGCTGACATGTGGCCACCTGTACTGGATCTGGCTGAGATGGAGTTCATTTCTCTATAGCAGCCCACACAGTGCTGTGCTACAGTGTTTAGGCTACTGCTGGGCAGTGCTGGCACAGCATCAGCGCTCTAACATCCCTCTCCCCAGTCGAGGGCAAGGTCCTGGGAGGGCACACAACCAGGCCAGCTGACCCAAACTAACCAAAGGGATATTCCGTACTATATGACATCAGTTCAGATATAAAAGCTAAGAAAAGGAAGAGGAAAGGGGGACATTGATTGTTAACAATGTCTGCCTGCTGCGAAACTGCTCTGCGTGCTGAAGCCCTGCTTCCGAGGAAGTAGCAGAACATTGTTTGCTAATGGGTAGAGAATAAACCTTGTTCTTTTCCTCTTTGCTTGCATGTGCACAAACCTTTGCTTTTGCTTTAGTAAACTGCCTTATCACGACCTACAAGTTGTTTTCCATCTTATTCCCTCTCTCCTGTCCGGCTGGGAAGGAGAGGGATGGAGCAGCTTGGTGGGCACCTGGCATCCAGCCGAGGTCAACTCAGTACACCACCGTTCATCACAATGGCAGAGCAGAGCTGCCACATCTCACTCTGATTTGTTTTGTAGTGCTGGGCTGGGAAGGGGCTTCTTGACTTAGGGTCTTGTTCTATGGTACTGTGTTAACAATCTTTCTGGAGAAAGAAGGGAACATAGTGGGCAGGTTGAAACCAGGCAGTAATATTTGATCATTTGCTGCACCACATGGATATTAAAAGGTTGGAATTAAGAGTCAGTATATTTCAAAAGAAATTAGCTAGCAAGACATGCACATGTAACTTTTATGGTTTGGAGATTAAGACACCAGGCTGGAACTTGGGATATCTGGGTTAAATCCCAGCTCTGTCAAAGACTTCTTAGAACATGCTGGGCAGGTCATGTAAGGTAATACTTTCAGAAAGGACTCAGGATTTGGAAGCTTAAATCCAATTGACTCCCAGTATCTTCCTAAGTGTTTAAGGACAGGATTCACAAAAAATATGGAGGCATTCTGATGCTCATCATTGTGGCATGAGGTGATGTGTGCTGCAAACCTTGGGCAGAGCAGTTGCGCTTTGGGAAGGCACTTCAGCACGTGAGGAGGCCTGTAGCTGACACCTGGGAACTCCTGGAAAGCATAAGTTTGTGCAGGGCCTGTGGTGGCTGTGCACCTCATACAATGGCACTCTGGGCTTAACGTGGTCTATAGGTGAAACTTCAGCACAAATACATACTAATAAGTTTCTAAGTAGATAGATCCTGTAAGAGCTTTTATATCAGTTCCCTGAGGTGTGAATACTAATGCTAACAATCATGAAAAGATTTTGCATATTTAAATTAAATGAGCTTCATTCTTTTGAATTAAACAGTCAGGGCTGTGTTTCCAACCAGTGAAGTACAGTGACACATACATCTGCTGTTTGAGCATGTGCCCAATGGAGCTGGTTGTGTAGAAGGCTAGTGAGAGTAAGCACCCGTGCAGTGACATGGCTCACCTGTACAGCTGTAAACCTGCAGCTGGCTGGCTTGCTCCTTTGAAAGAGCAGCCCTAAAGTTCCTTTTAAACCTTTATTAAACCTGTGGGGAATCTATGCTTGTTTCATGTCCTGCCAGGTTACAGATGGTAACAGCCAGTTTAAAGAGGTCATTTGAGACCAGCTGTGGCCTGGGAAGAACATGAGAGTTCCTTAAGTACCATGACAGGTGGGCTCTAAGACTGTCCCACACCTTTCCTTACTGATAATCCATCCTGGAAATGAAAGTTTTTGTTGAGGGTGTTTGTGAGCAGTCAGAGCCTGCAGTCTGCTCCAGGAATTCCGTGCCTGCATGAAATGGGTGCAGCCACCTTTCTTGGGAAGGACCCCACTCTCCAGCAGGCAGTGTGGGAGCCTGGCTCATTTTTTCTCTTCTTCCATGTCATACAGGCTCTCGCTCTTTTTTGTGTGTCTGGGACACACCGCATGCACGAGCTGCCTCTAGTGAGCTGAGGAAGGACAATTTCATAATAAATGAGGGTGATTTGCTAAGTGGGGGGTCCTGGAACCCAGCCGTAATTGTGCCGCTCTTTATCTCAGCCTCACACCTGCTTGTGTAATGGCTCGGCTGTGATCTGCTGCCTCGCTCATGAGCAAGCTCTACCCTTTTACTCCTGGAGGATCCATCAATTCTCTGGCCCTGTTGCTGTCCCTCGCTTTGCTGCCCTCACCTGCAGCTTGTGAATGTGCACAAATTCCCCCTGGAATTGCAGTAGGGCCACTGGGCTGTCTCTAATGGACATGACTGCTAACCTGGCTTTCATGTCTTAAGTAAGAAGTTTTTAAAAGAAATTCTTCTGCCCAAAAGAACTCCTAGACACAGCTTTCTTCAATTATGTTTCCTTAGAAAGCTTAGTCACGTGAGAATGTTGTATTATTCCTGCCAGAGGGAATACATGCAGCTTTCCCCCCCCCCCCGCATGCATTCAGTACTGATGAAAATTGTTAGATTGACAGTATAGGCATTTAAAAGGTTTTGAAATCCAGAGCAGATGGAATTTTATCCAATTTATGTACGATTTTATTATAAATGTACCTTACTGGATTCAGGCCAGTGAACTCCCAGTGTTTTAACCTTTGGACGATGATACCACCCTTATGACAGTTAGACAAGTAATATTGGCTACCACTCTGTAAAGGGTACATCGCCCTAATATGAGGATGTAGGGTAGTGAGAGAGTTGAACAAAGTCCCAGCTCGACCTCATGTGGCAAATTCTCTGCGTTTTTTTCTTCCTTAAGGAATCTCATATCCCGCCATGCTCCTGGCCCCCTCAAGTCTTTATCCTTAACAGGTCCTTTCTTCAGCCAATAGACAAACTTCATACAATGGTAAAAGCCCCTGTGTCTTGAACACATGTGCCCTGAGCCATCTGTCATCCTGTAGGCGCTTCTTTCTTCATACTAATCTGAAACGAAAAACTCCAATCCAGAAGTGAGAGCGAAAAGAAAGGGTGGAGGGGAAAGAGAAAAACCTTTTTTCTCTTGAGACACAAATGTCAATAGGTTTGAATTATGGACCTGCTGTAATTAAAAACCACATAACTAGTTGTTTTTAAATGCAGTTGTTTTACTTAATTGATTTTGCCGCCAGGACCAAAGGGAATTAATTAAATAAATAAAATGCACCTTCCTCGTGAATTACTGGAGGCAGCTGAGTCTGTGTTGGAATCTAATTACTGTGAATGCTCCAGTTTGTCGCCAGCAGTAGTTTTCTGTGGAAGGGGAGAGAAGGGGTAGGGTAGTGTGGGAGGGGGCTAATTCCGTGGCAGCTGCAGGAGGGAACAGGCTGCTCCTTGTAGTATTTTTCTCCTTGTCAGCAAAAAGAATATTCGTTTAAGGCTTTGCATGGAAACTTTGCTTATAAGGTCTTTATTCATATTTAATTACTAGGTTGCTGCAGCTCCCATCTTTAATTACCTTTTAAAAAGCAGGTTATAAAAATGCACTGACATTCTTTCTTTTTTGTTACTGCATAAATTACAGGCTTCTCAACTGCTCACCCAAAAATCAGTTGAGCCTGCAGGAACAGCTTCTCTTTGCTGACTTCTGGATACCTCAGAGCTTATGTGCCCCTCAGCCTATAGAGCAGAACAGAAACCCTGAACTAGCATTATGTGAACTATCTCTGTGCCTGAAGCCACATAACTGTGTTGTCTTCCCTCTGAGCTGAGTGTGTGCAGGAGTCTGGCCGGTCAACCAGGCTGATATTACACTACCATGGTCGTAGTGTTTCCAGAGCCTGCACTGCCTGGTGCTGCACTGAGGGTCTCTAGCAGGGCAGATGGGCCTGTGCCCACCTTCCATTGCCTCACCTATGTCTCTCTCGGATTTTGCTTCCTGGACCTGCCCCTGGTAAATCTGCTTCATCCACAACTTTCCTTATCCTAGTCCTGAGTTTCTTAGCCAGAGCTGCTAATAATTTCCTCTCCTGCCCAAAAGTGCTTTGCTGTCCCCACCTGGTGTATTTTCTGAGCTGAGAGCATTGGTTACTTTTACAAGTGTGAGAAAGTCCATCACGTTAACCATGTTTTTAGGCCAAGTTGTTAAGGTGCAAACAGCAATTTTTGTCCTCCTGCCTTGAATCCTCCCCTTACCACTGCTCCCAGTCATGTGCTGGCTTTCACCAAGTAAGCTAGCTGCTGCTGTAATGCATGGGAATACATTCTGTCAGGTTTCAGGAGGTGATGGTGGGTGGTATTAAATATCTGCTGAAGAAATACATGTGAAGGAACAGCTGTTGGCTTCTGCACCCAGTGATAAGCAAGGATGCTGACCATAATTGCTCCAACCCATTTTCAGGACAGCCTGGAGTGGTCCCTCACATACTACCTGGCCACTAAAAGTCCAAGATGAAATGCACTGCTGGGGCTCTGCCACAGGTTTCCATAAGCAGCGTATCTCCAGGTCACTTGCATACTTGGCAGGACAAACAGTGACAAGGCTAAGAGAGGGCACAGAAAAAAGATGAAAGACCTGACTCTGCCCAACTTTGGCACGTGCACTCTCTGCTCTCTGGGTATGGCTTTTCTTGGGATAGCATCTGGCACCCCAAGCTGATGCCTCTTTCCCTTTTTCCAACAGATAAAAGAGCTGTTCATGAGTTTTGAGGACACTCCCTTGGGAGCAGCGTCACTAGCCCAGGTGCATAAAGCAGTGCTTCAGGATGGGAGAACGGTGGCAGTGAAAATCCAACACCCAAAGGTCCAAGCTCAGAGCTCCAAGGATATTTTACTCATGGAGGTAAAACTAACTAACTGTTTACTTCAACTTACAGAGCAATTGCCATGGAAATGTGAGGGGGCTACATTCACCCATGGTGTAAGCAGATATAACAAAACCAATCCGAAGCTTTGAAACCTCCACAGAGATCGATGTTGACTTACAGGATTAATACGATAAGTTGATAAGGATAGCAGTGTTGGTGATTGTGTGGATGGAAAGACTGAACAATAGGGTAAGAGGGAATGAGGGAAGAAGGAAGATAGGTAAACAGGAATGACATCATCATAAGTCCATATAAGATTTAAGAGCTAGAGGGTGAGTCCTGAAGTCTCTCTTCAACCTGTATGCCCGTTAACTGGTTTATTAAACTGGTCTTAGTTCTCTTGCACTCAGGGCTGTGGGGCCAAAGAAAAATCATTGTCCATGATTAGCATGTTTCTTTAGATTAAATTCTAGTGTGAATTCAACACTGTGGTTCAGTTTTGTTTCTTTATCACCTCCTTAATGCTGAACATTAAGCGTGGTGGAAACAAAACTACTGAAATATGGAGAGGGTCACCTTACAGGGGCAGACATACAAATGAGGGATTCAGCTAGGGAAAAGTTTCAGTGCCTGGCTCCTGTTCTTCTGAACGGTGAGTACCACTTATGTTCCCAATGTAGTGCTGTAGCTTCTCCCGAACTTCTAAGTCTAGCCATGGAAGGGAGGAACTGGAGAAAAACTGTGGCATGGAACTGCATTGCAGTAGTCAAAGATGCCAGTGATTTGGTATGGAACAGGAAATGGACACAGGGCTGAGATGCAGGAGACGGGAAGGATTAGGTCTATAAGTGGTAACATTAAAGTTGTAAGCGTAATAAATAAAGCTAATAAGCATATATATATATATATGTATGTATCTACAGTAATATGCACATTCATTGGCAGACAGGTAGGGACTAAAGTGGGGAAGCTTAAGTTGAGGGGTTCTGATAAGTGTTTAGAGGGTACTGCTGATGCAATAACAAAGTTCTCCATCACAGAAGGTCAGGAATCAGAGATCCTGCCAGCACCCTCTCAGAGGAGCATGTAGCTAAAGCTTCTTTAGGCAGCTAAAACACTTTGTTTTTAGCAATCCTGGCTAGTCTGCATAGAGGCACAGATGGTTTTAGCTGGGGGACATTAGTTTGCAGCTGAATATTTATTTTGAACTCATATTGAAAGAAATTTTTGGGTTAAAAAAAGATGTCCCAGTAAGAAAAGATCTATCTGTTTCAGTGCTGGTTTGAGAACAGAGCACTGATTGAACTGGCTTTGGGTCCAGCTGTAGATTTAAATTTGATTCGGGTCCTCTCCAGGCCTGACTGCACTGGTCTGCCCATCGACTTTGCTTATATGAGTTGTCATATGCATAGCACTTCTCATAGGGCTTGTGACATCCTTCACTCCTTCCCAGAACAGGGGTAGCGGAAAAGGAGCGCTCAAGGATTGAGGATGAGCAGGTAATGAAAGACTGTGAGACCAGGGCAATAAGAGGATTCTGTATGAATGAGCCAAAACCTGTGTCTACCTTGCCATATTTGCCATTTTAACAGTGGGTATCACAGAAAAAATACACCATGTTGCTGTGATTGCTGGTTATACTGGTAAGAAATATTTAAACAAATTATTTTAGAATGTTTCCTGTCTTTTCTGGTTTTAAAATGTTCTCCCTGGGAAACCTGAAACTGAAATAGTGTATTTCCTTTTGGAGATTTAGTTTTGTTCTTTTACAGACAGCCTAGTTTAGCATCCTTGAGATCTGTTGTCTATACACAGGTATGGGAAAGTAGCTCAGAACATGACACACACAGTTTTGTTTTTAAAAGGTCTCTTGTGGAGTGTTGCCTTACATGCATCATCATATAGTTCTGTGAGACTCTTTGTATAGACTGCATGGAAAGCCAGATTACGTGCACTGATGTTCTAGTCCTTTAAGAATCAGATAGACATTGCAGCTAGGTAGGAGGTTAATTTAAATACTGATGGAGATGGTCTTATTTAAGACTGATGGGAAGGAATTTGAATGGGAAAAGCTAGATGGAAAATTCCTAAATTCATTTGAGTTTCACAGAATCAATGCTGACTCTTTAAAAATCAGTACAGCATCTGATAAACCCAGAGAGACATACCTTGCTGCTCTTCTTGTATCAATAATTATTTCAAGACAACATGTTAGACAGATGTCAAAAAAGGGATAGGTGAAATACTTGTTAAGTATGTCCCTGCCGTTGGTCAAGTTGGCAAATTGATTCAAAAGAGTATTTAAAGAAAGAAAAAAATGCATGAATTTTCTCACACCAGGCACCAACGAAATAATCTTGCAGACCCTATAATGTTTATATTCATGTTCATGAAGATCACTGGTTACATTTCATTTGGGTGACATAAATTTGAAAGGATTTATGCCTCTAGATATAACAGTAAAAAACTAATTCAAGAGTGTCTGAAACCTGGTGATTACATTTTTAAAGGAACATTGAGTTTGGAACTGACATTTAGATAAGAGAAGTTGAGACAGGGGTGGAGTACAAATGTTGTCACACAACTAAACAGGAGCAGTGATGGTTCATAAATTTATTTTTTGTCATACATTTCAATGATAGCAGGATTCCTGTGTGTACTTTAAATGTTCCTCCTGCAGTACAGGAATTTCCATCTCAGTGGTGAAGATTTACAAAGGGAAGTGGTGCAGTAACACACACGAGTCTGTTTAAATTTTCTGATGAATGTGCAGAACAGGTGAGATAAAGACAGCAAAATGGATTGCATTTTTATTTTTTCACTCATTTTATGACTCGAGTAGTTAAAAACTGCCAAACAAATTGTTTTCCTTAAGGTGTAGTCTAAATTGTCAGCTTGTGTAAATTTGTGATTCTGGTGGAGAATCTGGCCCTTCTTTGAACAGAAAACATGCTTGGCTGCCTCGAAGCTTGATTATGCCATGCAGTTGTGTAATCTTGATTCACTCACCCCTTAAATGTTGCTTTAAGCAAACATTTCCAGGAACTTTTTGGATGGGCTTTTCAAGGTGCTGTGTAGCTGAGTACCTAATTCCTTTAAGAAAAGGATTCTAGGTAATGGATATATGAGACTTGGAAAACACCTCCTCAGCATTTCTGAGGATGGCTGTGACTGATGCTGAAGAGCAGCTTCCCTCTGACCCCCACCAGAAGTGTTCTTTAAAGATCTGTAGCCTACTAACTGTATCCAAACTCCACTATCTTCTTTGAACTGCCCAGTGGATTATCTGTGCTAGCAAAATTCTCATTCAGCAGTGGAAGAAGTAACATAAAGGTGACAAGTCTTGCTTTAGATCTTTCTCATCTGCTTTATCTGAGAGCTGTTTGAATGAAGCCAAACAGTGACTTGTTGAATTATAGGACCCAGAAGAGAGTTGCTCCAGGGCCATGCCCTTGGTGAGATCTGGCCATGTGGTCTCTTCTCCAGGGCTACTTACTTCTAGACAGCAGGCAACTGGGCTCCTTTTGGTGTGTGTGCTGTCATTTAATTCCTAGATGTGCCTATATGGAAGGGTAAGCCAAAATTTGTGTTACATGACCAAGGCATGACAGTGTGTTGCACTGTGATACTGTAGGAACCCAAAAAGCACTTGGGGTGTAGATCGGTTTTTTTTTTTAATCTGTAAGTTATATGGAATGATCCTATCAAAACAGCACTGTGTGTAGCTATGTGGCTTTGTAGCCAGGATGCAGCTGTTTGTCTGTTTCCTTGTTCTCAGGTTCTCCTCTTGGTTGTGAAGCAGATCTTTCCAGATTTTGAGTTCATGTGGCTGGTGGAAGAAGCTAAGAAGAATCTGCCATTGGAGTTGGATTTCCTCAATGAAGGCAGAAATGCCGAGAAGGTTGCTTATATGCTCAAGAACTTTGACTTCCTGAAGGTGAGGGAACATGCATTTCTGTCTATATATTTGAATTAATGGTCTTCCTTACTGTGTCTTACGCACCTCATTCACCAACTGGAGGAACCATATGGAGGGAAAATGGAGTTCAGTCCCTCTGTGTTGTTCATCCTAGTCTGCTCTGCTAATACAGACCAGCGAATGCTCTGAGGTGGGCTTTCTCCATGCTTGTTTCCTACTGTACTCACTCTATATTGGGCCAGAAGTGGTGGCTTGGGGCCAGCAGTCTCTGGATCCTGCTGTTCATTTTCTCAAATGCTCTTTCTGAACTTGTCCAGTGCGTGTGAATTCACCGTTCTTTGCTGAAGTATCTGATGGTACCTTTTCTTGGACTTTATCTCAGCTGAGGGCAAGAAATGGACATAGAACAGAAAAGCTAGACTGAAGCTGATATGTGGAGTAGTATTGGGAACACCCGATATCTCAGGAGGAAGCATGTTTGCATGAGTCCTTCCTACTGCAGAAAGGCACATTATCCCTCTAGAACTGGGCATACAACCTTCATACACATCCATGGCTAATGCATTCGTGTTACCTTCATACACAAAATTAACTGTATCCACCTGAGCTCTTCCCCACTCACGCTCTTACCCACCTCCTCTGCGACACGCTGTCTGAGGTCACTGACAAATGTCTCAAGTACAACCAGACATGTACACATCTCATTCTTGGAAAGACATAAGCTCACATCTTCAAACTCGCATGTTCAAAAATCTTCTGCTGACATACAAGAGGCACAAGCCTCCAGTGCATACTTTCTGGAAACACATGTAGTGCTGTGGGCACAGTCACTGCTGTAACTGCATTTGCACATACACAAAGGCAGCAAAAAATATACCCTCCTTTGGACCCTCCTGGATACACACAATCAAAATGAGGTTTTCACGTCCTGTTCATGCAGAAGTACCAAAACAGAAGGGACAGAGGTCTAAAAGAAGGTAAGTTTTTGTTGGGCTGATGTATCCATTTGTCCTTGCTTCCTCCATGCAAGCGCTTTCCTTGATGCTTGACTCCAGGTTTGATGCAGTCCTTTTGGAGCCCAGTGGCAGCAGTGGCCTTCCCATAGACACAGATAGCTAAAAGCCACCAGGGCTATGGAAGGCCAAAGGCCAACGGTTTTGCTGAGTGGGCAGTTATCAGAAGTGATGCACCTCGGGGAGTTGTATCCATTGCAGCTGTAACTAGGATACTGTGAAGTAAATCCCCATGGAGACAGCCAATCATCTCCTCGCTGGGTTAAGCAGCTATCATGATATCAATATGTGTAACAATAACAAATAGCTTCAGATGGCTAAATAATGGATCCTCCCGTCTGACCTGCCAATTCAGAGACGAGTTCATCACCCAAAAGCAACAGAAGAATTGGGCCCCTGTATCATTAATTTTCCTAAACACGCTAGAAAGCTGAGAAGTATATTTTGTGCCACGAACCTGTTTGAGCTTTTAAAGCCAGAGATAAATTATTTCCATGCACTAGCATTACAGCCAAACATCTGTGAGTAATTAAAAAAATCACTGAAGAATTCGACTGTGATTGAGAGAGGCATCTCCAAGAGCATAGATAGTGCTTTACAAGCCCACTGACTTGCCTGTGTAAATCCTGAGACAAGAATAAGTGTCATCTGAAATGATCTAAGGCAGCAGGGATCAGTAAGCTGGATGGGTTGGAGATCTGTTAGTTTTGGAGTTGGCTGGCTTTCTCAGCAATCTAACTGCAAAGAATGAACATCCAGATAAACTGGGAAGGCTGTGAGTAACTGAATCCCCCTTGCTCATAGTGAATCTCTGGCATCAAAATCTAGGCAAGGTTCACATGCAAAGTATACCAGGAGTGTTGAACGGTGGGACTGATGGACATTGGAATTGCTCAGCAAAGGAGCTTTTGATCTAAAGTGGCACACACATGATAAAGTAGAACTGGTCTCTCTAGGACAGGAACAATGAGGGGAGCCGATTGTTTATGAGGGACTGAGACACTGTCAGTAGTTAAAAGCAAGAAATGCTGCTTGTTCAGGAGCTGCAGTGAGCCACAGTGGGCTGGTCGTCCCATGGCATTGGTCACACTAGATGGGAAACACCTCTTACCTCTTCCTGTCCTGCCCCAAGATGCTGTTCCTAAGTCCATGCCTGGGTCAGGAGGGTAAGGAAAGGGAGCTGCACAGCTGGTTCACTATTTGCATGATCCAAAATTTGTATCTCTGTACTGGGGCACAATAATGGGAATGGGTTGAACTCCCTTGTATCTTTGGTAAAATGTAACTATGTGGCTTCACCCCTGTGCAAAAGCAAATCTGGACATACTGGTGGTTTGGTCAGCACAGTGATGTGAGGAATATCCAAAGGGAATTCAGCAGAATGACTCTTGACAATAAGGGACTTCAACATGGAACAAATTTGTCTGGAGAAAGAGGCTGGAAAATAGGGAGCCAGCCTGAGCAATGCTTGTGTCACTACCTCCCTGGATGGCACCAGGGTACTGGTACCTCACTCAGCTTGATTTACTTCAGATGGAATGAAAAGGGCTTTGACGTTTTACACTGTGTCACGTTGGCGATAAGATAGCTAAGGGTCTCCCAGGGTTTCTGTGAAAAGTCCCTTATTTGTGATACTTGATTTTTCTCCCAGTTCAATTGCAGATGGCCTAAGTATGCAGGGTTTGTCAGCTCAAAGGCGTTTGTGTTCCAAGGGGCACTGCGGAGATGCAATTTATGACGATGGCTTATAATTTTTAAGGCTGCGTAAGTGGACCCTGTGCGTAGCAAACAAGATGCAGTTCCTGTCTAAAGGAGCTGAGTGGATGATTCAGAAACTTACAATAGGTACTAGTTAAACAGCCCAGCTAGAGGAGCTGCAGAGCAGGTAAGAAAGCTCTCAGACTACACTGGGAGTGGGAGGTGGTCAAGATGTTGTAGAGCGTGGCCAGAAATGTTGCATGAGGACAGATCCTGCTGTCGTTGAAATGTTGTGTTATCCTTGTACACATTACTGCTGTCCTGGGGAACTGGCCAGTAGATGGATTTACCTCCCACATGCTCATCAAAAAAATCCAAGTCCACACTTCAATTGCTTCCATTTTTACTCCTTCTCTGGGCTGTGTGTGATATATTCTCTTTCCTTTCCCAACTGGTTGCCTGACTTTATCCGTCTGTTCCTGTTTCAGGTCCCCAGGATCTACTGGGAGCTCTCAACGAGGCGCGTCCTACTCATGGAGTTTATGGAAGGGGGGCAGGTGAATGACAGGGCCTACATGGAAAGGAATGGCATCAACGTCAATGAGGTAATTTCTCGGCCATCTCTGAATTGGGCGTGGTGGGCAATGCAAAACTGATGTTGATGTCAGCTGACCTTGATGCAAAATGGAGGCTGGCAGGACAGGAAAGGGCGGAGGGAGCAGCATGTACAGATGTGAACAGAGCAATCAGTCTGAAAGATCTCCATTCTTGTGGTTTGTGGAAGAATACAAAACTCCTTTTGGGGAATACTCTCCTGTAGGCTACACAGCTAGAGAGACCTTCAAGGAGACATAGTGAAAGATGACCATGCTCTTATAGTACAGACACCCATGGTTTGTTCCAAGATGGCAGTTCCTGTTACCCTAAACTTCAGCTTCTGATTATTTTTATCTCATGGACTTTGCTAATAAGAGAGATTTGAAAAATTTTGTCCATGGCAAAACATAGTCAGCTCCAGTCATCTGGACAAGTCAACTGGTCAAAAGTGATAGTAATTTCTTTGAGTTTATCCTATACTTTTCTTCTGCTCTAGGCAGAGGTCAAAGCTAGCCCACACAATCAGATAGAAGAGTGAATATTTTTCAAGTCTTGAAATACTTAGAAAGGCTTGTTTTGATGCATTTGCAGTAGGGCTCTTGAGCAATATGTACATTCAGATTTTGAAGTGGGCTTCCTCACAGTTCTTGGATAGCAGACTCGTTCTGAGATCAAGTGTACCTCCTTGGGACTTTGGTTGCCTCCTTGAATTTTCTCAAACTGCTGGAGATAGCAAAGTTGTAGAGAAGCAACTAATTTCAGTTTTTCTAAGTTCCAGAGGCTTTTACTAGCAATAAGAGTGACTTAGGGTGAAAATTTCTGCTAATTTCTGTGTTCATCCATGCCTTTGGGAAGATTGTTTTGTGATATCTTGGCTCAATAAGTCCCATGCAACAATGAAATCACATGTTTTCCTGATCCTGAGCTGGTGTCTAAATGATGGCTAAGATGTAATTTTAAAAAAGTTGTCAGTGTACTTCTATTGCTGCAAAGTACAAGCCTCAGACAGTCCTGGCTATCTGTCAGGTATAGGATGTCACTCAGTTCAGTTGTAACTGAGAGAGTTTCTACAAACTTTCTCAGTGCCTACACTGAGCTGTTCTTCCTTTTCTCTCCCCACCCTCTGAAATTAGTGATTAACTTTTACTGATGGTCAATAAAGCAGCAGTAGAAAGGAGGGAATACTGAACCTGTCTAAATCTTGGGGAATGAGGTCTGTTATGGCCACAGTAATACAAGGTAGGAGCTGTGCACACCCCAGACTTCTCCTTTGGCAAGGTGCAGCAGATGGGGACGAATATAACCAAGATCCATTATCAGCTGCTGCTGTTGTTGCCCTGGGTAAAGGACTGGGGGGCATGGTGGTGAGGTGAGCAAAAGGCAGCAGACACTGAAAGGAGCATGAGGAGGGGGTGGCAACCCACTTTTCAAAACTAAGACCTGGCTTATAATATACAGCAGTTTTGGCTTTCAAGAAATACATTAGCTCCCTATAAATCATCTATCTATCTATCTATCTATCTATCTATCTATCTATCTATCTATCTATCTATCTATCTATCTATCCTTCTATCATATTACTTCATTTTGTTTTACTGGGTGGAGGAAGAAGAGTCTTTACTAAGCAGGATTTCTTGTGTGACAATGCAGCCTTGAAAAGCAAGCTGAGCCTCTCTCCTTTAAATGGAAAGAATCCCTGAGGTGAAAGCTCCCTTCAAACCAGGTTACTGACATTTACTTAATACCGTCTGTAGCAGGATTATCATTAAAGCTGCCCAAAAGCACATTAATCTCACTGGATCCGTCCAAGTGCTGGATTGTAATGGCATTTAATCAGAGAAGGCTTTGATTTCTAAAGACAAGTGCAAACACTGAAATATCTGCCTGTGGAACAGTTACTTATTCATGTGCAAGTGTAGCTGAGGAGGAGCATGCAGCTAGGATATTGACAGTGAAAGGGAAATCTGGAGGGGGGAGTTCTAAAGAAATGAGCTGGCAGGAATTGTGAGGGAAGACAGGGCATGGCAGGGTTAAGAAGGGGCACCCGGAAACTGAGCTCTTCCTGTTTCAAAACACAAGAGGATTTGAAGTCTTAGTTGGGAAGTTACATTTGAAGGGGCTGTTAGAGCATGGAAGAGAGGAAAAATAGACTGAGAGGCTCTCAGGAGGGTTGTAGCATACTGTATGCATGAGGAAAGGAAGGACAGCAATGCTACTTAGAGCATGGATTTTTAAAGAAGATCCCAAATGGCACAAATACTCCTTTTACACCCATTCTGACTGTACTTGATTAATTCAGACAGACCTTGTCCGTATACAAGTCTTAACATTATCTCTGGTCTGATGCATGGGTTCTCCGTGTCCTTCCTTGTGGATTCTCTGCCCATCTCCGCAGAGCCTGCTGGATCAACAAGCTGTGGGAGCTGTGGAGCTTACAGATGCACTCATGGCATGTGCTGTATTTCCTCCAACTAACCAGCCAATTTCAGGTAGCCAAGTGGAGAGTCCCCATGATCACCCTGCTTTGGATTTGAGTCAGGGAAAGGAAACGATGCCATGTACTTCAGGTCACTAAGAGCCTGTTCATAAGCCATGGATGATTCAGAAGTCAGAAAAGGGTTTTGTCCAGCTGAGAGTTGAAAGAAAACAGCTAAGGTACTTAAGAGGAGCTATTGTGCACAATTATTGCCATCTGTCACCACATCCTACTGTGGCTTTTTGCTTCTTTCCATTACTAAATGGTTCTGCATTGGAATGGTGTCTCTTAGCTTGATAAAGAGCCCAGCTACCTTCTTGTGACTGACAGCTTTGCAATTTGAAATATGCTTTCAGTGTGGGATTTACCCTTCTGCCAAGAATCAGGAGCTGCAGCCGTGTAGCTGCTAAAATTTATGTGGGATTTTCCCAGGGTGGGATCCTTTTGTCAGCACAAGTGTGGAAACCTCTCATGTTTCGAGTATTTGTGCTCATAACACTCAAGTGTTAGATGAAGCAGAGCAGAGAAGAACACTGTTTCTGGGGAAGATGACTATTCTTGCTCTTTGCACTTGCTGATGTAGTCTGGGGAGAAGTTTCTTTGCAGATTCTCCTGCATTTCATCTTGTCTGAAGCTTAGTAAAATTCACAAGGCACTGGCAAACAAGGATAGTGACCTCCAGCGATTTCAGCCTTTGAACTGTGCAAAGACACCAAGTAAATGAGTTAAATTACACACAAACCCATTTCTTACTGAAAGTCAGTCCCAAGTGTCAGTGTCAATCAATTGCTTAAGTCCCACCAAAATGCTTTACATCAAATCCAAGGAAATACGACTGCATTTCAAGCCAAGGGAAGATGATCCCCATGGTCATTTTGGGTCTGACAGAGATGCAAGAAGCAAGTAAAAAAACCAGTAACTGGTCTTTTCTACCTGCATCCTTTTGAGAATCTGGACAAACTTATCAAGTTAGTCCCTCAGTTCCCAGGGTGAATGAGTCAGAATATTTCTCCCCACTTAAATGCCATGGAAGATGGGGCATTGAGCAGGAAAATAATTTTCTCAGTCCCCAACAGAGAGTACAGGGTATGCTAGGAGTGCTCTCCAGGAGTCCTAAAAACTATTCCTGTATCTTAATGACATCATGTGTGTCCAGACATCACCTTGCCTAGATGCTAGATCAGTGCACAGTGATAATACTGCATAACAGAGCACTGTTGATCCTCACAACTGGATTAGAGGACAGAGTGCGAAATCAGATCTCTTGTGTGTGACCATCCTGATCTGCTATGGACAAGAGCCATTTCAGAGCAGAGCACAGAATAGGTTCCAAACTGTGGCAATTTTCTATTCATACCCTTTGCTAATTTGACACCAGTTTAATTGGGCAGAATTGCCCTAGCAGGATTAAGCAAACCCTTAGATGATGGCTGTAATAACAACAATGAAAGAAAGCAAAAACCCAATACAGTCTTCAATCCAATTAACCTTCGATTAAGGTTCCAAAATCAATGCTATTATTTTGGCTGGAGGAGGTAATATTGAGCCCTGAGAAATGAGCTGCACAACGACCTTTATTTTTAATGAGATCAATAGAAGTTAGTGTCGCCATCTCTTAAAATAATTGGCAAATATTACGGCCAAATTAAGGCCAGAGACTAGTATCTGCTCCTGATCTAAAGAGACAGTCACGGATGGAGATGGGACAGAAAGAGATGATGCCCTATCAGGCAGCTTCATCTGGGACTTATCAGGGGCAGGCAGTGAGATCATCTCTGCAGGACCATGACACAGGATTTTTTTCTTTGCCTTTCTTCTTCATGTCAGTTGGAGGCATGGAGCCAGGACCGCTCTAGCTTGCTCACAAGTCCAGGGAAGTATCAATGACTTTCCTCAAATAATTCAAGCTGATTTTTTATATTGCAGCTACCCTTGAACATGATATATGTGCTATCTTTTTACTGTAGGAGTACTCACAGCCTCGATTTTGCGTGCATTCTTTCTTGTCCAAGAGGTTTATTGCTAACTATTGTGTATTGGTGTTTTTAAAGATACTCATTTGTGATGGACTTTGTAGTCTGTTGTTACTGTCACATTGCTCTGTCAGCTGGGTGTGCTGATTTGTTAAAAGGAGAGTTCCGTAGAGGGGCAAGGGTGACAGGTTGTCTAGGCTTTCAAAGCTGATGGCAGCAACATATTGTGGCTGTGTACAAACACAAGAAGAAATATATCACTGCTGCTACCTATATTTCAGCTTGGGATCTTCTGAGTTAGATGACAGAAATGCAGTATGTGTACTTGTTAAAATACTCGATACCCTGGATATGAGTCCAGTAAGTAGAAAAGGTGGGGATTAGTAGGGAAATTGCAAAGTAGGTAAGAAACCGATAGAAGCAATGGTGGAGAGAAATTACCATAGTGGAATTTTGTTTACTCTTCAAACAGATTTTATTTAATAAATTGGTGATGACTTCAACACAAACAGAACTGTGTCAAGGACAGAGTTGTTGATGACACCAAGTTGAGAGGTCTGACACTGTAGAGGAGAACCAGAGAAGCAATTGCACTTGTTAGCCTTGAGGACTGAAGCGATAGAAAGAGATAAAAATGAGCAATACCAAGTGAAAAGTCATGCACTTAAAAACTGAGAAGAAGAGTTTCTTAAATAGATTGGGAGTTTGTCAGAGGGAAATGACATTTTAAAATTAACTTTGGGATATGAGTCAGTCACGGGGTGTGTGTTTCCTGTTCAGTGCAACTGTGTAAAAGGCAGGTTGACACCTAGGGATACACCTGGTAAAGGAGCATCCTGTAGAAATGGGGTAGTATTTCTTCTGTATTTATGCTGATTATTATCTGACTGGTGGACACATTGGAGTGGTAAATACTGGAGAGAGATGGAACTAGTTAAACTCTAGGATTATGATAGCTAAGGAAATAATTTAAATTGGACATTATAAAAATCAGGCTTGGACTTAGGGGTAAGGTTTTGACCATCTAAAGGGTAAATTTTTGGAACAGCATCCAACATTGTGCTTTCTGTCTTACATATTTCCAGTGAAATTGACCAGTTTATAGAGAGACTGTACAGTAACAACCCTTAACATTTGCACTGCATTGTTATTTTCTGGTGTATTGGCTTGTAACTCACATAGGATAGTTTTTTACATGTAGCATCCTTGCCATATTGAGTATATATTATGGACTTCATATGCTTAGGTTGGTGAAGAGTTATTCCAAGTCTGGCTGTTTTACATGTATTACACTGTTTGATTGTTGTCTGCAATCTGTTTATTCCTCAGCTCTGTTTTTTTCAAAATGAAAACACTGGCTTAAAATGTGTGGTTTATCTGACACAGTGTCATGGTCATGTCACATAATTTGGCAATGGCAGATTGCTATTTGCATTGACTGGTAAGGCCACAGGCTCACTTGGTGACTGTAGTCATGATGTTCTGCTGCAGCACAGATACGCAAATGGAACTTCTTTTAGGCAATAACACACCTTCTGGCAATAGCACATGCCTGTGGCCAGAGCCAGAGCCTGATGTCATCCTGACATATCAAGCTCAGCTCTGCTTGCTGACTAGCATAGTCTTTGTTCTTATTTGTTATGCCTAAATTATACTATTCTTAGTAACACCTCCTTTTGCTTATTTGTGTTTTGTGTAGCACATTCAGAACTACAAATGCTTCTGTTTCCTTGCTTTTCAAACCTGCTAACATTGATAGATTCCCCTCCTCTGCCATTCCTTAGCCAACTTTGGAATCTTCGGCTCTTTTAATCTCTGTCCCAAGTAGATGCCTCCTGCATTTTGCTCATTTATTTGCTTTCTCTGAACTCCCTCTATATAGTCTGCATCTTTCTGTTAATGAGATGTCTGGAATTGAATGCAGAATTCCAAGGGTGATTATTATTTTTTTCACAATGTGCAGCAGAACAATGCTGAGGGATGCTGGTAATGATAAAGACCCTATTGTGTTGGATGATAAACAGGAAAAGGACTGATGACCTCTCTGTGTCACAATAAAAAACCTGTGTGTTAACTTTGGTCTTTGCTTCTGTAAATCATTGCAACCTTTTGTCTAATTTGTGATGCACCTTCACCCCGAGGTCTTACACAGCCTAAATGCTTGCTGAATTCCTGAGCAGAGGTTTTCATATGTCTCTTTTCTCATTTCACCTAGCTACATTCTTCCAAAGTGAATTCTGTAGTGTTATTTATTCAGTGGCCTTCTTAATAAGAGTGGAATAAGTGCCCATAGGGACAAGGCACAGTACTGGAGAATTAATGTATATAAAGGTTTCATGTTTTTTTTCCTAAGCCTTTTCTCAAGAAACATGAACTCCTTTTGTCTGAATTGTAATGATAGGTCACTGTCCACATATTACACTCTAAGCTCTAGAGTGTAAAGCTTCCTGGTTTTTTTTACAGTTTGATGGTATTGGTGCTTTCTATCTTAATTTAATTTGTATCCTATTTTAGAGGTATGTCGTCAGATAAAAATACGTGAAAATACTTTAGTGTGCAGCACAGCTCCATCTCTTACACTAGGTAACTTTTTTCTAAAGTAAAGACTGTTTATATGCTTATATCATAAATACCTGTAAAATGTCTCCTGTATGCTAATGAAATAATACAGAATGCATTCTTCTGTCTTAAAGAAGCCATAAGGTTTAGTTTCAGTAAAGATACTGGAGAAACTCAAAAGTTGCATACTGGGGAAAAGGTAAATATAGGTACAGCAAGGAAGGGAGAAAGGATGTGGACATTGCAGTGAAGATTGTCTTGTACCCCTGACCCAGCCTGAGTGTCTGAGCAGACCTGTGACCCTCTGTTTTCATGGCAACATGAATCGTGAGCTGCTTTGGTGTTGCACTGTGGGCTGCAAAAGGCTGTGATGATGGATCTGTGCAGTAACCTGTCTGCTGAGGGTGACTCAGGAGTGGGGGCCTTCTCTGCACCTGGAGCCTGCAGCTGTATCGTAAGATGCTGTTATGAGGGTAGCATGGATAACCTGGTGAGAGGCATTTTTGTAGGATCCTATGATATTTGTGATTGGAAGTGACCTCAGGAAGTCTTTTATCAAATCTTCTTCTAAGGCAGGGTCAGTTATAAGGTCAGACCAGCTTACTCAGGATGTTAGTCAAGTCTTTAAAACCTCCAAAGATGGAGATTGCACAATCCCTTCAGCCAGGAACCAGCCAACAGGTTTGCAGAACTGCCAGCCCTTGTCCAGACTTGTGTTTAGTGGGCATGAGGCATCATGTTGTGCCCCAGATTGTCCCCAGGCCCTCATCTTCAGTAATTCTGTGCTCTTCCATGTCCCTGGAGAACAAACAGTTGAGGTAGGGAGGGCAGAATGTGGTTCACCCCGTGTCTGCAGCATGTTGGGTTTGATGGTATGATCAGTCATGATGTCCAGGTCCATTCCTTCTGGTGTGCAGATCCCTGGGAGGTTGTGTGAATGAGTGACTGGCTTAAAACAGACTATCTGCACATCCTTGGACTGTCAGCAAGTGCTACTCAGCTCTTCTAGGAGATCACAGCACCAGGTATACTTTGGTCCTATCTAATTTTAGAGCTTGTCGGTCTAGGAGACCTATAAGAGTCACTTCATGGCTCCAGTGATCTCTGCTGGTAATTCAGAAGGGAAACATCACTTCTCTCAGTACTCAAAATAACACCAGTATGACATTAGGGATGCTGCACTTTGGGAGATCACAGGGCTGTGCTCTGCCACCTGTGTGGGTGATTCAGCATGGGACCAGCATTCACCATGACTCAGCAGTGGTTCCAGGTCCCACTTGAGGGACAGAGTATTGTTTCACATGATCCTACAGCTGTCCCTGCTGGCAGCAGGAAGGTTTCCTGTCCTTTCTTGTCATTGGTAGTTACTTGGGCACTATTCATATTTTCCCAGAGGTGGCTGCATCTCAGAGGTGGGTAAAGCAAGCCCTTTCCTGACTGGCTGGTTTTCTGCTGGATGAGCTGTCATTAGTACCCCTGTTACCTCTTCTACCACCTCTGCTTATGGTGACAGCTGCCAGTTTGCTGCTTACGCAGTGTGTCTGGAGACATGCTTGGAATAATTTATAACAATTGTCTTTTAATTGCTTGTTCAGCACTCTGCTGTGTAGCACTGTGCTGCTCTGGGATGGCAGGGAGGGCTGGTAGTGGGATGGCAGGGCAAGGATGCTGTGGTAGTGCATGGCAAGGGATTGATTCTGTGCCCTCGGGATGTTTGCTTGCTCCTAGGGGGTTTTTAACTTTAATAACATCTCTTGGTGATAAGGAGTAGTAGCATGGAGGGACACAGCAGTGACAGGATGATTTAAACAGCCTTTCTGTGCTGCTTCATCTTCACAGACATTGCAAATCAGATTAGCACGGTTCTGTGGAAAAGAAGAGGGAAAATGGGGGTCAGTATGATGGAGGGGTGGGAGAGGGAACCCATGTTCATTCTGGTGATGAGATTAACAGGCTGAGTCTCCTCTCACCCCTTCTACACTGGGTCCTGCTGCCATTCATGGATGGAAACACCTGACTCTTCCTCCAAGCAGTCTCACCCACCCCAGCAGTAATTTCTATGCCTTCTCTGTGAATGCATGTCTGCCCCTTTCTGCTGTCCTACTTTCCTCCTCATTACCAGAAACCCCATTCCTACCCACAGATATTTTCTCCTTTTTATGCCAGACAAGTGTTCTTAAATAATCCCTGATCCCACAAATAACTTCATGGTTCTCCCTACATGGATCCTTCCCTCAATGCCTTGGGTCACCCTGCTACTGGTAGATGCCAGCAGCCACGCTGTGCATCTGTCAGTGTGAGGAGCTGCAGGAGCTCTGCATGGGGACACCAGCACATATAGACCCTTCTCCCTGTAGGATTGCCATATGGAGACTGCCTCCCTGGCAGGCACCCTGCTGTGGGTGGCAGTGTGTGACCATCTCTGTCTCCTCACAGATCTCTCGCAACTTGGGGAAGCTCTACAGCGAAATGATCTTTGTGAACGGCTTTGTGCACTGTGACCCACATCCAGGCAACGTGCTAGTGAAGAAATGCCCGACCTCTGGCAAAGCCCACATTATCCTCCTGGACCATGGGCTCTACCAGGTATGGGGGGCTTCCAGAGCCTTGCGAGGCTGCCTTTGGGCATCAAGGTGAAAGAGCACACCCAGCTGCAGCCTTGCCCCTCTGAGCACATATGAATACATTTTTCCTGTTAGTCTCATAACTCTCCAAGGATATTTTCTGACTCTGAAATGGGGGATAGAGCACAGCTAAGGGGCACAAGACTTTCCTCCCAGTTGCCTGTCCTCTGTGGGTTTCTGGGGGGCCATGTCTCCCTTCCCAGGTGCTGAGCGAGTCATTCCGCATGGACTACTGCCGCCTTTGGCAGGCCCTCATCAAGGCCGATATGAAGAGGGTGCAGAAGTACAGCCGTCGGCTCGGGGCAGGGGATTTGTACCCTCTCTTCGCCTGCATGCTGACTGCCAGATCTTGGGAGTCTGTCAACAAGGGTATTGACCAGTCACCAGTCTCAGCCAGGGAGGTAGGTCCTGTGTGTCCTTCTCTAACGTGTGCCCTTCCTTCTCCTCAGGTACTTGCACCACTGATACTGCAGCAGTGCTGGGCAACCCCTGGCAACCCTGTAAAAATTTCTGCAGTGATAGCCGAGCTAGAAAAAGCCAGGACTCCTTCTGCAGTGTGTTTTACAGTGGCTGAACCTTATTTCCCAGATTCACTTGTCATGGGCTGCTTAAATTTTGTATCATATTTTAATACCTAAGTGTTCACCATTTCTAGCAGGAGAAACATTTGTAGATCGTCCTTTTCTTAAAAAAATGGTGGGTGCAGCTGTGCAGGGAACCGTCAAGGAAGCTAGGATAAGGTAGAGGAGGTATAAAGGCTTAGTGGGAAGACATGAGAAGGATAATGCATTATCACTATTCATGTAAATGACTATCAGCACTGATACAAACTCCTAAAAACTCCTGGAAATTACCTCCCAATCAGAAACCCTATTAACTTGGAGTCAAGGTTGCTTAACTGCAGATCCTGTCAACTCAATCACTACAAATCTAGGAAATTGCCACTTACGTCCTCAACCCTTTCATATCCACACATACTGGGATCCTTCTCATGCCTCCTCACACATCTGACACACACACATCACCTTAAGAATGGTAGCAGCCCCTGTCAGTTGTGCGGTTTTAAAGAGGGACATATAGGATTTCAGCCAATGGACTAGTGTCTGTGAATAGAGGGATGTTGTATCCTATGGTTTGCTTTTATCCGTGCACGATTTGTAGTAGAGAGGACAAATTTCACTTAAGTAGCGTTATAATATTGTCCTATGAAATTCTCTTATGAAAGTTCCCTCATTTTGATGGATGTGGCAGAATTTGCTGCACTGGCTTACCATTATCCATAGCAATGAGGAGGTCAGATACCTTGGGTAATGGATCCCCCCCTCCAGTAATTTGATTGCTTCCTACCTGAATTAATTTCCTGCACATCAGAAAGAATGCAGTGACTGTCTAGCAGATCTGTGCTTGATCTGGTGAGTTCTGGAGCTGGTAGCTCCAGAAGAAAGTTCAGAGGCACCAAAGTGAATTGGCACAGAGCTGGCTCCAATACTACAAAGCCAGCATTGAATCTGAGCTAGTGAGCAATGTTTATTCTCAACTGGCTTGTGAAGGTTATGCCAGAGGTGTAGCAGCAGCCGCATAGTGCCTTGTGTGTGCTAATGAACTTTGTCATTGAGTTGAATTGCGTGTATGGAACCAGCTCTGTTGTCTTTGCTTACATGACACAATTAATGCTGAAACTAGATAATCCTGCAGCAGATAATGGGGAGCTGAGCAGATTTGCTGTAGCATTAGGAAATGAGCTTCTGCTTGCCCTTACTTTAGAGGTGAATTTGAAAGATTTTATCAGCAGCAAGAGCTGAGTGCTGTGTAGGCAGGTACCATCAGCATAGAAGTTCAGAGAGTGTGCTAGAAGATGTATCGACATGACAGTAGCCTGTGAAACAAGGAAGTAACCCACCTGAAACAAAATCTTATTTGTAGTATGTACTTAATCTGGGGCACTGTATCTCGAGAAAGGTTTGATGAAACTGGGGCAAGTCCAGTAGGAACATACAAGGACTAGTGGTCAAGCAGATGCAACCCAGGAGGTAAGTCTGAGCAAGTTAGGGCAGAAAAAAGAGAAGGCAGATCAAGGAGAATTATAGAAGTGATATGAGGATCTCTTAAAGAGTGCTGCAAACAGGACAAGAAATCATGGGTTTAAATTCAGCTAAACATGAGAAAAGCCAGATCTAATGGCAAAGCCAGTGAAACGCTAGTGCAGATGTTCTGGGAAGGCTTTGAGCCACGCTGCTGGAGAGTTTTAGGTGCAGGCTGGGCAAATGTATGAGAATTGCCATAGGTGTAGTTGTTCCTGCAGTAAGCCAGGCCCAGGCAGCTGATCGCTCAGGGTGGCTGCTAGCCTCATCTCATCTGATTTTATGATGTGTTTTGCTCTATCCTGCAGCAGCTTCAGCAACTGCAGCCAAGGGGCTTTTCTCAGGTCCTGTGGCATAGCTTATTTCTTCCTCTGCACACAGGGTTTGCCCTTGACAGAAAACGACAGCTCTGATGACAGATCATGTGGTTGTTCTGTGATGTGGACAAGCAGCTGGAGCTAAAAATAAAAAGAAAAGAAATAGAAAAGAAAATGTATGTGTGGAAAATAAAGTAGGCTCTGCAGTAATGCTGGCTGGGATATGGGATAAGAGATAATCAGGGAGGAATTTTCTCCCAACAGATAATGGAACAAAACATTTAACATTTAGGAGAACTAAGCATCTTCTTGCTGAAGCTTTGTATATTTGGTCAGTGACAAAAGCAGAAGGACACAAAGATTTGTCAGCAGCAAAGCAACCATGGCAGTGTGTGAGATGTGTACATCTCTGAGCATCACTACCTGCACACTCAGTTTGTGCAAGTCTGTTCCTTTCTAATAAGTTTGAAGTACACAAAGAGTGTGAGATCTCACATAATGAAATATAAGCCATCCCTTGTTCCAGAGGAGAGAAGTTTTTAGCGCTGTTGTTTCTCACAAAGGAGTCTCCCTCGTGCAAGAAGTTATTTACTGCTCTCCACATGTGTCCTGCTGGATTTTGGAGATTTCAGGTATTCCAGGGACTTCTATTTGGATTTGCTGATTAATGTCATGGCCTCTGTAGGAAGAGGTAGGGACACAGTATGCATATGGGATCAGCTCCCCACCACACTGTGCTACATTTACTGGTATGGTGAGGGAACTCTGAGGTCTAAAAACTGGCAGAAGAGATGGGGCTGGCTGTGTTGCATGCTATGGTGGCTCATGTTTGGAGGAGAGCTCATCTTAAGTGGCTTAGGCTGTAGCCTGTAAGTTATCACTGGGTTCTTACAGTGGGCAATATGTTTGTTGGAATCTGGAGAAGCAGCAAACATGAAAGATCACCCTTTGCCTGCCTTAGACTTACACTCTTTGCTTAAACATCTGCTACTGGCTGCTGTCAGATAGGATATAGATTGAGATCTGAGAGATGACAGTTTTTGATCTTTTGGGTTATCATGATGCTTAACTGCATAATGCTTTCTCAGTGCAACTCAGCTCTGCTGAGTTGTGTTGAGGGCAGAGAACTAAACGAGACCTTGGAAACACCTTCATCTGTATAGCATAGAGGCCATCAGTTGCATGGGACAGCAAAACAAGGAGTGGCCTGGTTGTCTTTGCAGCATGCCTCCACCCCCCTGAGCAGTCCTGTGCTACCTGCAGCTCTGACAGTTTTGGGGCTGGTGAGGTGAGATTCAGTTAGAAGACTCCAAGGGCAGTAATGAGGTGTGGTTGCTGTAGGCTGCCTGGGGCCAAGAACTGAGACAGCAGTGAGTGCCTATTAATCCTGCCAGTGAGGGCACAGGACCTTATCTCACCGAGGGGCAGGTGGGACATGGTAAGAGTGATCTGTGACTGCTGCGAGTGCTTGGGACAGCCCAGTATCTGCTGAAGAGGACAGAGCTCTTTAGCCTCAGACCTAGTCATGGTCTGTAAAAGCAGTTTCTTCCTGCCAAATCTCAGCTGCATCTGGACCTGAATTTCCCACGCACTCTGAACTTCTCTCTCTTTTCTCCCTGACATGACCTGGCTGGCCATAGGACATGGAGATCCGATCCAACGCTGCTACTTACTTACCCCAGATCACCCAGCTCCTTAACAACGTCCCTCGCCAGATGCTGCTGCTGCTGAAGACCAATGACTTGTTAAGGGGGATTGAGTCAGCCCTGCAGACACGGGCCAGCGCCAGCTCCTTCCTCAACATGTCTCGCTGCTGCATCAGAGCCGTTTCCACGTGAGTATCTTCTCCAGGCACCAGAGGCCAGTCAGGGAGCAACAGGAGGTGACTGTCCCTGTGGTCCAGGAGCTGAGGGGGGACCCAGGTCCAGCAGGCCAGTCAGGGCCCGGTCCCTTGCAGTTGACCAAGGCGAGCAAGGCAGACCCTGAGATGGTGGTCAGGTCCAATTAAAAGTCTATATCATAAGGCAGCATCATGGTGATGGGGCAGGTCTAAGAACAAACCAGAAAGTCTATAGATCTGGTCTGGTGGTTGTCAAGCAGGTCCATGGTGACAAGACTGAAGGCTGAGGTTAAGCCAAGGGGTCAGTATGTGAGCTGAGGTCTAGGTCATGGGGCTTCACAGCAGGGCATGAGCAGGGACCATTACTCTTCCAGTGTAGCTCAGGAAGGAACTGAAGGTGCAGGCCTGAGATTAACTGTGGCTCCTGGGCCTATGAGCAGAGGGTTGGACAGGACCGTTAAAGCTTATTAGAGCCCCTCTCTCAGGGGGCCTGATAAGGCTCTGACTTGACCTCTCGACCTCTTAGCTGTGGATCTCTCCCCCTCATTATCCCATCTGCTGTGATCTTACCCTTACTAAGTTACACATCTCAGTCTCTGTCTGTGGTGTTCTCACGTCCGTCAGCCTCTCCAGAGGACAAATCTGTTACCGTGGGGCTGGGGACAGGGATAGAATTGGAGGCCTTAGGGTAAGGGTTTAGGATTTGGCCCCCTAGAGGAGGTGAAGGGGCTTCCTGCCCATTGCAGCCTGATTTAGGGGGTTAGGGCTGACTGCGAAGATCAGGCTGATTTTTAAAAGCCAGGAACAGGAGTAGTGCAAGTGATTTCCATCTGTGAGTCTTACGAGTCAATGCACTTCTGCCTCAGATTCCTCCTCCTTGCAGATGAAATTACAGTTATTTCTCTGGCTGATGAGGGACCTATGAAGCCAAATTAGCCTCTGCTTCTAAAGAAAGGTGAAGAAATACTTTTCCTGGAATCAATGTGTTAGGATTTCTGGACTCTTACAAGTTTGCTACGGGGAAAAGCTATAAGAGTGTGCAACTATCCCTCTTAGCTGAAGTGAAGCTGGGCATAGAAGCAGAGGATGCCATGACCCGGGGTTGCTACACACAATGGTAAGAGAACTGGCTTCACAAGGGAGCAGGCTGTCTGTTCTGCCAGATTCATTCTAAAAGGCAGTCCCTAGCTCCTCAGAAGCAGTACTTGGAGAAAATCCGTGCTTCCTGGGGATTCTCCAGATGTTACCCTCCCCTGGGGAAGGTGAGATTTACTGAAGATGTAGGACAGGCCTTCTTCCCCCTGGGCTGTATCCTGCTGGATCTAATGCAGATGTTTTTCTCTTTCTAGGTACCAGAGGAACAAGAGTCACTCGCTTTACAGGAGGGCCCAGATCTCACTCACAGAAACCCTGAGCCTGTGGCAGATCAACTTGTATGAACTCTTCCTGTGGCTGAAGGGGTCCCAGCTGGGGAACTGGGTCATTGCTCTCCTGAGACGGATGCACCATTCCACATACTGACATGAACTGGTGGGAGAGGCCCGGGTGCTCCCTCCCTCCCTTCTGCTCTCCACGGCACATTTGCCTTTCTGACTTTATGTCTATTTTTGGGTCTTATTCCACATTACCCACTGTGCTGTCCTTGCCTTTTACAGCATTAACTTCTGTGGCACTGAGAGGTTGAGTTGGTACCAGAGCTCAACTGTTTCATGGTTTAGGAAAAGGAGCTGTGTGATACCTTGTGTCAGGAAGGACAGGATACTTTATTTCCCCATCTGAGCAGGGTAAGTTCCACTCAGATTCCAGTGGACTACACTGGAAGCAAATGCCTCTCCTTGGCTCTTTCTTAAACAAATCTTACAGAACTTAAGAGAATCCCAACCCTACCTAGAATGCCCCAAAACATTTCTCAGACCCTTAGAGAGAGGTAGTAAGTCCCTTTAAAATGCAAGAGGGTGTATATTAGTTTGAGCAATCTCCTTAGTCTGATTTCTGTTCAAGTGTGCAGAGTTTCTCAGAGGAGTGAGACCTTGTGGAAAGTTGTCACTAGGGCTTCCTCTCCCAGCACCAGGGAAAGGGGACACAAATGGTGAGAGTGGTGGACTGGGAGTTTGACTTTCTGAGGTCCATCTCCAGTCCTGTCAGCAAGTGCATTTGTGTTTTTGGACTTTTCCTGACCTGTTTCCGTGCATGTGAAATGGAGGAAGGGGACAGTGATCTTGCCTCTTTTCTGAAATGCAGGGAAGGCATTCAGAATGACAACTCAGGACTCTGAAACTGCTGGTAATGTATGTGTACTGTACAATACTGCCACACAACAAAATAAACATGACCTTTGGCGGGAGGGATACCTGGCTGTGCACTCAGAGTTATGTTTGGGCCTCTAACCTCAGTCCTGTTTCTATTTCCCCACTGAATGGGTGATGCCAGGCAGTGCTGGCAATTCCTTGCTAGCCAAATGAAAGGACCACTTGGTCTTTCCTCTATCCAGGAGGTTTGTTCCACATCCTCTGGTACTGTCTCAGATGTGCGTTGGGATGGGATGGAAGAGTAGACATTATTCTACTGGGAAGGATGCACCACACCTTGCCACCCATATCCATGCTGAGCCTGACTCCTCCCTGCCTTTGGGAATGGGCTGCAGCACATGTGAGACATCACCACCCCATGCCACACACTGAGCATTTCACCTCGTCACTGCCTGTGATGTTTCAACTGCTGCTTCCTCAGACAAAAACCTGCCACTTGCTCAGTGGTGCAAGTGACAGATCTGATGACTCTGATTCTGCAGTTATGGGACAGCTACAGAAGGTCTCACCCAGAGGCCTGCTTTATGTGAGATATATTTAGGATCCTGGGAGATGTCTCTGCTTCTTGTGAGAATTCCTGTAGCCAGGAAGGGTGGATGGAAGTGACTGCGTACATCATTTCAGCCTTCTCAGAAACTGTCTTGGTGAAAGGGGACCTGAAGGACAGGATGGGAATTTCCCTTTATTGCCAGAAATTTTGCTAAGCTGAGGGTTGTTACTCAGGCACCAGGATATGCCTGGTGCAAGCCGTAAGAAGGCCAGTCTCCCAGTTTCCATACAGTTTCCCAACTTGTGCAGGTGTAAGACCCCGCCTTGAAGTGAGTCCATTTGCTTGGGAAGGGAAGCAGGGGACAGAGTGCATGTGAATGAGTGTATGAGTCCCTGAGGAACCAATTCTTTTGCTGGCTTTGTGGGAGAGGGAAGGGATGTAATCCAGAAAAGGTACCTGACTTCAGGTGGGCTTGGGCATGATGAGTTGGTGACTGCAGACATGTGGCTTATGACAGTGACTATGTACATGTGCAAGAGTGTAGGCAGAGCACTGTCTCAGCACTACCAAAAAGTGATTGGCAGAGTTGTGGATAGGGAATTACTGATTGTGGGTTTTTGGTCTCCTTCTGCAGTCAATTGCTTGACCCTGGCGTTAGCTCTCTAGCTTTGTGAGCTCTTCCTACTACAGGGGCAACAGCAGGAGCAATGTGCTCTCCCGTCTTTGATAAGAGCAAAAAAAGAAACCCTGTCAAGACTGAATGTCCTTGCAAAGCTTGTCCCCAACCTGTGCAATGACAGGTCAGATATTCCCTTGACTTCTAGGTTGGCGTCAGGGAATGGAGCGGTGGTAATTGCGGTGACGAGACTCCTGAGTCGACAAGGAGTCAGTCACAGGGGCCCTGGAATATTTGTCCTGCAGCCTGTATATGACTAATCTTTGCTCATGTGAGTAATCTGGCTGAATCAGTGCCTTGCTCAGGCACTTAAAGCTTGTAGGCTGGCCAGCATGGGTGAGCCTATCTTGTTCTCATCACAAGTAGAGCTCCACTCAGAATACTGGCCTGGTGGACCCAGTTAAAATCCCAGAGACCCTCCAGCAATGGTCACGAACTGCACATCCTCATCTTGTAGCTGCCTTTGCAAATGCCTTTCCCTGCTAATGGCTGGATATGCTGACTAGAGGACCATCTGGATCTCACTAACATCTGTGAGTAAAAGCTCATCCCACAGTGAGACCCTCATTTCCAGAAGATTCCCTGTTATGGAGAGGCTCCCTGCAGCTGTCATTTGCACTGGCTGTCAAGCCTGCAGCCCCCTCTTGGCCATGCCTGTTCTTTTACTCCTTCAAAATCGCAACATCACACAATTGCTAGTTCTGCTACCCGAGTAAGGTTCTGACTCTAAAAGTGGTAGGGAACGAGCAGCCCCTCAGACTGGTTTCTGGCAGTGTGCAGCAGGCAAAGAGCAGGGTGTATTTGGCAGAGCTTTGTCTATTGTCATTAGCCTCTGCTGGGAGGCTGTGTGCTGCAGTGTTAACAGAGGGATTCCTCCATCAGTTGTGCTCAGCTCTCACCCTTTCCAGTCAATCAACAAAAGAACAAGCAAACAAATGGAGTTTGACCCTTTAACATTACTGCCTTGTCTTTTTGCTGAAAGCTCTCAAAGGTGAATGTGTTAAAAGGGTTTTGAAAAGACACTTTCTCATCCCAATTTGTGGTTGTCAAACATGGGTAACCTGGATCATCTCTGTGCACTTGGTCTCTCCTTCCAACCTGAATTGATTGGTGTTTTTACCACCAGAAAACACAGCCTCTGCTGCTCTGCTTGCAGCTGCGAGCAAACTGAAGTTTGGTGCAGACACTAAACATTGGCCTCGCAGAGACTCCTGGACCCACCAACTCTTTCTCAGGACTAACATGGGAGGTAAGAGCTGGGGCCAGATTTTCAAAACTTATGGGCATCTTTCTGCTTCTGTAATATGAAGTACTGTGTTGTAGCCTTGTATCATCACCCATCCTAAGGCTCTCAGTGCTCTTGGACATGTAGAGGAGCCAGCAGACACTTCATCTAGCATTTAAATGTACCATTATTACATCCATTGGAGGTAGAAAACGGAACAGTTTGGGTAAATGAAGTTGCCATGCAAAACTGCAAGAATCTAGGGTATGAAGTAAACATGCTTTTGCACATCCAGCTGAAGAAAAGCCAGAGAGAGAATTAGTCCAGGCTGAAAAGCATAGCCTTTACCTAGCCCCTCCAGTGAACTTTAATGATGATGAGTGGTGGCACACAGATTTGCAGATCAAGGCTGCATGGTGCCTCTGCCATCTTGCAGGGGCGTATGAACCTCATGCAGTTGCAGCATAGAAGCTTTCCAAGTGAATCACTCCCTGCTTCCCACAGCACGTAGTGTGTGAACCGTGACTTGAACGCAGCCTGGCCAGCACCAAAGCCATCCCCCTCATGATGACTCCCCCTGAGTCACTGGGGCCACTTTCCAGTGCATCACTTGGTTGGGCTCTTCCCCCACATCCACTTTGTATCTCTGCATTCCCTTTGCACTGTCCCCCCCATACCCTGAATTCAAAGGGTGTGGGCAGGCTGCTGGGTGCTGGAGCATGCAAGGAGCTGTCACACATGGCAGGCTGTGCCAGGATGCCCAGCATTCAGGTGGAAGCAGGGGGAGGGATGCCTGGAAGGGCACAGCCCTCAGGGCAGTCAGTACCTTATCCCTTTCACCTCCAGACAATTGAATGGCTAGAAAGGGGATGGGTATTTCTTCCTCCTTGGGGCTCCTCTGCAGCCTGAGCTCTTGCCATCCCCATCTCACTCAGGGGATGTGCTTGTCTGGCTGATGGCAAGAGGTTTGTATTGTGGCTTTCAAACAGAACAGAGTAAACAGCACTGATAAGAGGGGTGTGGGCTGGGGCCTTGCCTTGTACTCAGAGGGGGAGTTTGCTGGTGCTGCTGAGGTGGAGGTAGGAGGGATGCTTCAGATGCACACAGGTCTTGGGATAAATCCAGGTCTCCTTGGGGCTGCTGGTTCTCTGGTAACTTGAACAGAAGTGTCCTAAGGTGTAGCAGGGTGTGTAGGGAAGGAGCAATTGGAGCCTTTGAGTTTGCTCATGATTTCCTTCTTAGTCTCCTCTGCAAAGCAGCAGAAGGGCTGCTCTCTGCTCTGCGCCAAAGAACCATCGCCTGCCTGCAGGCTGAGCAGAAGGTCTTGACTGCTGTAGGAGTGCAGCAGTTCCCAGGGAATCCTACTTTCCGATGCTGCCCCTGCTTTGAGCTCTTGAGCCACATACCTGCAGCTTTGCACCTTGGGCAGCAGTGCTGGGGACCAGGACCTCCAAAGTTTCCTAGAGGAGCATCCTTTGTGCCAACAGTGGGCAGATCTAGGGGCAAGCTGCTGCCACCACTCCATGGTCACTGCCTCCTGCCATGCTGTGTGGAGAATCTGAAGACCCAGAGGCATTCTGCTCCTTCCCGTTGACAGTCCCCAGTGCTGCTGGCTGGGAGATGATTGCTGTTGTATCCCTGTTGATGTGAGAGGACTCGGCCTCAGCTGCTTTGCCGCAGTGTGGTGATGGCCGGTGGTTAATGTGGCGTTGGTGCTCCGGGCAGGCAACAAACTGCTCTCTGTAGAGCAGTGGGAGGATGCACGTGATTCTGAGTGTTTGCAGCAATTAATTTTGCTAGTGAGTCCTGGGAATTTGGAGATGGGAGGGCAGGAGAGGTGAAGAGGGGAAAGGCAAGAGGAAATTAAAAGGAAAGGGAAGGGAAGGAAAGGAAAGGAAAGCTGGAACTTAGCATGGTTCTAAATGGACTCGTGATATCTAAATGGTTCTAGACTGCACTGTCTGATTTTTGTTTCACAGGTCACCCAGACACTGTGGTAGGCAGGTTGCTGCCTCCCACAATAAAGAGATCCCACTTCCACCTCCTGCCCCTTGCACCAGTGCAGTGTGGCGTAATATTGCTGAGGGATAATGGTCTCTGCAAGGCCATTCAGAGCCTTTTTTTTTGTTATGTCTCTGTAGAGCTGTCCTGTGGCTGTTTCCCCCAGGTGGGACTGATGGACTTTTCTCAGTTGTTGTTTCAGCAGATCAGCTGGCAGCTGTCACTCTGCCAGGGATGATGGTCTAGAGGATGGAAAGCCCCTAGCTGGGAGGCAGCCTGGGTCCCCACTCCACCAAGGCACCAGGGCCACCAGGCTCCTGCTGGCATGGGGCTGGCCCTCTGTCAGCGTCACTGAGGTGCCTGCAGAGTGTGGGTCATCCCCCTTCCTCCAGCAGCTTCTTAAGTCCTGGCCAGGACTGTAAAAGAGCTGGACAGTGAGAAACTGACATTTGTAATTAATTGATTATCTGTCTGAGAAAAATTATCCTTTCCAAGAATCATACAGGTGACATCTTACTCCATGAGGTATCACCTACTGGTGGACTAGCAGCTCTGCAGGGAGGGATTACAGGGAACGCCAGGTTAAACGTGAGCTCACAGTGGAAATCATGTCTGGGGCTGCATCAAGAGGAGTGTGTCTGGCAGGG